ACTATTAAAAAAGAAAGGAAGGTTTTTTATTAAGAAAATGAGATATCTTGTAATTGTTATACCTCTTTCAGGCATTTCTGCCTTTTTTCCAATTACGTAAGGATTTACAGATTTAGTTGTAATATATTTTGACATACCGGACATTGATACGGTCCAAAATGCGTATAGGTATTTCAACTAAACTTCACTAATTAGGCCGTGAGAGGCCTAATTATTCATGACAATGTTATATGGTAGGCAGGTAATGTCATGACAACATTGTTATTGATCGACAGTTTGTATTATGATTTAATTAAGTAAAAGAAGTTACATTACACAGAAGTAGAAATATTATTAGAAATTCAAATAGAGTAAAGATCTTCTCCATACTCTATTTTAATTCTAATTGTAAATAATATTTCAATTTTCTACTTCCGTGTAACCTATTTTAATTAAATAATAATACAAACTGTCAGTCAATAACAAAACGTTGTCCAAAAACGTTGACACCAAAAGATTTTGATATTTAAGTAATTTTTATCAAGGACAACGCAAAAAATGATTTGAAAAAAATAAACACGTTTATCTCTTCTGATAAGTGTTTACCAATACCAACTGCATATCCTACACACGATGTTGGTAAAAATTAATTTTATCCACAACTGTGATAAAAGCTCTATTACACGCATCTAATCTAGCCATGCAATGAACGTCATCCGTGTCATTCTGTGAGGAATAGTGAAACAAATGAACAGAGCTGTCACGTAAATGACGGACGTAATTGAATATTTCACATTTGTTTTGTTTGCGACGAAATTTTGCTTCTAAGTTGCTGAAATGGACTAATTTACGTTCGAAGAGTATGCAGACATGCGTCTTATTTATGGCGAAGCAAGATGCAACGCTAGGGAAGCTGAGCCCTTTCCGAATCGCCGACATGCTTGCCGAACATTTTCGTGAATCCATCGTCGATTAAGAGAAATAGGCAACTTTAAACCAGATGTAGGAAGTTGACATCCACGAACTGCACGAACAGTGGTCAATGAGTGGTCAGGGGTTTTGCATCGAACTAAAGAATAATCCACCACAAGCCGTTTTGAACAATTATTATAAATTTATTATTTTTGCGTTATCCTTAATAAAAATTACTTCAATATCGAAATCTTTTGGGGTCAACGTAATAGCATTACGTTTTTGGACAAAAATTGCTCTAGGGCCAAAACGGCTCATTTTCGACTAGGGGTTTATAGGTATATAAAAATTTTCTTCCGCAATGTCCTCAATGACCTCCTCAAATTTGGCAACACCTTTTTGAAACACCCTGTATATCACATTTAAAGTACGATGTTTTTTGGGTCATTATGCCGCAGTCCGTGTACCTCGTCACCGCCAGTGCAGACTTACAGTGCAGTTTCTTAACCTTAGCTAGACTAGGGATATTTGGCTTGTCTTTGTTGTTTTCCGGCTAGGCTCTGGTTGTCACAAGCAGCCTCAGATGCGGCGAAACTTTTGCAGTGTCACCAGTCACCACCCTAGATAAATGATNTTGTCTTTGTTGTTTTCCGGCTAGGCTCTGGTTGTCACAAGCAGCCTCAGCTGCGGCGAAACTTTTGCAGTGTCACCAGTCACCACTGAAGATGCCGGCAGTGAAGAATGGCGAAACGACTACGGAGCATCTCAGAGCCACTATTATAGACCAAGCAAATTAAATTTTTACTCGAAAAAAGTCCTATCCGCGAGATTATTGTAAAATTGCCTAAAGGAGCATAATACAAGACATCTCTCATCACGCGAGTCAAAAACTTTTATTAACTAACTTTTCTATTTAAACAAATAAGTGAGGAAAACAGTTTTTTCTCTTTGCACGGAAAACCATCAATTTTAGCGAAAAGTGACTCTCAGACAGCTTATAGGGGGGAAAATTATCTACAAAATGAGACTTGTTAAATTAGAATCGGTTAATAAACAAAAAAGTTATTGCAAAAAAAACAAGAAAAGTGCCCATTTTTTAATTTGTTTACAACTAACGCATTTATTGTTAAAATTTTATAAAACCCATGACAAATTGAGGGTTTTGTCATACTTTAAAAGTGTGCCAAAAGTGGGCGCTGTAGGTGCAATAGTTTTCGCACAATTCAATTTGTTTATAACTNGATCATCATATAATCACATTTTTTTATTAATAAAAAAATGTGATTATATGATGATCAGACATTATTATGTTATATAAATAAATGTGAATGAAATATCTAATAAAACACACTAAAAACACAAATAAAACACACACCAACACTCGCCAAACCTAACCAACAATAAACAATAAACATAAACAAGAATGACATGAAATGATTCATAATTGGAATTGTCAAAATTTATTCTACAAAATCTTTGTGGCGACATCTATAGACTCTTTCCCCAACTTGTATATCCATCTCAAGTCACGTGGTTCCAGAGTTTCCCCATTTTTTCAAGTATAAGTTCTCGGGCCCTGGTCACCACTGAAGATGCCGGCCATGGAGACTAGTCTCCCTGATGCCGGCAGTGAAGAATGGCGAAACGACTACGGAGCATCTCAGAGAGCCACTATTATAGACCAAGCAAATTAAATTTTTTTACTCGAAAAAAGTCGTATCCGCGAGATTATTGTAAAATTGACTAAAGGAGCATAATACAAGACATCTCTCATCACGTGAGTCAAAAACTTTTATTAACTAACTTTTCTATTTAAACAAATAAGTGAGGAAAGCAGTTTTTTCTCTTTGCACGGAAAACCATCAATTTTAGCGAAAAGTGACTCTCAGACAGCTTATAGGGGGGAAAATTATCTACAAAATGAGACTTGTTAAATTAGAATCGGTTAATAAACAAAAAAGTTATTGCAAAAAAAAATAAGAAAAGTGCCCATTTTTTAATTTGTTTACAACTAACGCATTTATTGTTAAAATTTTATAAAACCTATGACAAGTTGAGGGTTTTGTCATACTTCAAAAGTGTGTCAAAAGTGGGCGCTGTAGGTGCAATAGTTTTCGCACAATTCAGTTTGTTTATAAAGGAGGCTCCAAAAGTTATGAACTTTTAAGCCTCTGTACAGGCGTTAATTTTCAACCAAACATAATTCTGAAAGCGTCATTGTAATCTTAAAGACGTAATTAAGCGACCTATTAAAAAATATCACCGTTTTTCGCTTATAAACAATTTGAATAACATTGTTGCTATTTATGCTATCTCACCGAAAATAGATGCAATGGATAGCTGGCAAAAAAAATACAGTTTTAAAATAAAAAAAGTACCCTTTACGACCAACAGGAGCGATGATAAGATTTTTTTTAATCGTAGCGCAATTGTTTATAAATATAAGACTTGAATTTTTCGCAAAATAAAGTTTACGACGTAAACTACGATTTCCCGTGAATTGCATTGAAAAAAGTGGAAAATTAACGACTCACGAGCCCTTTAAAGAGAAGGTACTCGCTAAGTAAACTGTCCGGCGGCCGGCAGCGTGGTGGTGGGGGAAGCTCGTCCAAGCGAGTCGCGCGCACGAGAAAAGTTCAAATTGATGCGCGCTGTAAATTTTGCAATATCTCGGCTTCTATTCATCGAAGAAACTTATTTTTTATTTAAACTGGGGTAGCTCGACGAAAAAATAACAATGGGCATATTTACGAATTCGTAGAATAGCCCAGAACCCCAGAAAAAATGCATAATTTTTTTTAATTTACAAAGATGTCACAAAAATTATTGTTAAACGAAATATTAATTAAAATTTCAAATTCGGAATTATTTTACTATTATTAAATAAATAAATGAAGCTATCATTCATTTAAAGTTATTTTTTTTACATATTAAGGCAAAGTAAACTTGTTTTTTCGATATTTTGTTAGCTATTTAATTACGATTTAAATGTAAAATTAAAGTAAAAACTCATAAATTATTTTCAAATTATTATTTCTCATAAAAATAGAAAAAAATTTAAATTTTAAAATGTATTATGTTGCATTATTTATATCTATTATTGAAAATGGTTGTGATTAATATTTTTTTAATTAATGTTGGTTATGTTGCAAAAATTTTTTTGTATAAAATTAGTAATAAATATAATTAAAAAACTATATTGAAATTTCAAGAAGTTAAAATTGTCATTTTATCGACCGCATTATTTTTATTAATATTTTTTAATTTTGAGAATTTTGCAATAAATACAAATGCTTTTTATTCTTTTTTAAATCTTTTAACAATAAATAATAATTTGAAAATAATTTGTGAATTTTTACTTTAATTTTACATTTAAATCGTAATTAAATAGCTAACAAAATATTGAAAAAACAAGTTTACTTTGCCTTAATATGTAAAAGAAATAACTTTTTAAATGAACGATAGCTTCATTTATTTATTTAATAATA